GACGCGGGCGTGCCGGCGCTGGACGACGGCCTGTTGTTCTTCACGCGGGGGGCGCTCACGTTCGGCACGGGCATGCAGCTGAAGATGGCCTGCACCCGGTGGGCTGCCGTTGCGCGGGACGCGCCCCGGCCGCAGCGGCTGGGCGGGGCGTCACGGGGTGTGCGGCGCATGGAGGGCCTGACGCGCGGGCGTTTGGGGCGGCGTGGCGGCGGAAAGCAGGGTGCCGTAGATAGGTCGACGGCCGTGCAGCTTGGGTCTGATTGCAGGGGTGGTTGGGGCTGATTGCAGGTCCAGGCGCCCGGGCGGGGAGGGGAAACATTGGTTGCCAGAGGGACCAGAAAATACAGGGGTTCAACGCGCCACAAACACGACTTTTTGTGCACAATCCTGTCCAGCCGGCTGTGCGGCCAGCGGCCACCAACCCTTGCCTGCATGCCCCGGGCCGGCGGGCAAAGCGTCACTGACCATTGCCGCGCCCGCGCGCCTCGACGCCGCAGGCTGCAGCAGTGGGCGTTTGGGGATGGCGGGCTGCGGGACATCTGGGCGCAGCTGCCCGAGCAGGGGCAGGCGCTGTTCAAGCTGCTGAGGGTGAGTAAGGCCTCCGGCTGCGCGGCCGCGCCTAGCCCACCGTTGCTCCCCTCATACCCCAACGCAGTACGCAGCAGCCCCGCCCGCCATTCGGCGACAGACGCCTGAGCGGGCGGCGGGTGCGCCCGTGTGCTGGTGGCCCGGCTGACGGCCCCACCCCATCATGCGGTCTTCCTCCCACTCTGATTCTCTGACCCTGCGCCATTCCCCGTCCTATCACTCCCCTCGACTCTGTGTCGCAACTCACTCCCATAATCCCCATAATCCCCGTAACCCCTGTCACCCCCCAGGGCGCGAGTGACCTGCTGATGATGCCCAAGGATATGCTGCTGGACGATGACATAAGGGAGGAGACGGTGGCGCTGCCCATCGGAATTGTGGCTTATATAATGGCCAGGTCGGCAGGGCGCTGTACGGCTGTATTTCGTTCAACAAAAGAGCTGAGACTGCTGTCAGTGACAGGTGCACTTGGCACCCGTCCTGTCTCTGTTTTGCATCCGACACGGCAGACACCAACCCACACCCATGCAACAGTGATGCAGCCCGGATCCGGCCCCTACCCAACGTGCCGGCTCTAACAAACATAACTTCCATACGGCAGGTTCCAACCGGACGACTACGCGCCCGACAGCGTCAGCCCCTCCGTGCTCGCCGCGCTGCAGCACGCCGCGGCGGCCGGCGCGGGCGCGGGCGCGGGCGCGGCGGCGCCGCGGCTTGAGTTGGAAGCGGAGTGCATCTACTACAGCCCGACGGACGACATGACAATGGAGCGGGTGGGTCCAAAGGGCCGCGGTTTGCGGGGCCGGAGGCGAGGGAGGCGGCGGGCGCAGGGAGCGAACGACTGATGGGCGGGATGGACACAGGGCTGGGGCCAGGCCCAGGCCGAGGGGTTCCCTCTGGGCTGTGGGCGCCCCAACCTCTTTGTTTCGCGCCCGCACGCCTCCCACTTCATCTCTGTTCCGTTTCTCGCTGCCCGCCCGCGCTGCCCACCACCCCCAACATTTCCGATCCCAATCATGCTCGCCCGCCCCCAAGCCCCCTGCCCCGGCCAATGCCCCCTGCATTTACCATGCCGATCTTTTGGCCTCCTGAAACCATGTCGTCTTCGGTCAACCCTGCAGGTGGAGGTGGGCGAGGAGCCTGGTCTGGAGTTCGGATCTGAGTCAGAAGACGAGCTGGCGGCAGTTGGCAACATGGGAGCCGACCTGGGGGCGGCCCCGCCCCTGCGCTTCCGGCTGCTGGCGCGGCTGTGGCACGGGGGCGTCCCGCGGCCGCGGCGGGTGACCGGCCAGAGGGCGGAATGAGGGGAAGTCGGGGGCGGGCGCTCGCGGGGCTTCCATTGAAACATGCAGGCTTTTCTTGCCCCTCATCGCACACTTTCGTGCCACCATCCGTCAATTGTACACCGGCTGCCAAAAACTCATCATGCAAAGCTGTGACGAAGATGCTTGTATCTCATGCACACTGCTCCCTCTGTGATGCAACACGGTGCTATCAGCTTGCACACATGTGAGAGCTTCAATTGCCCGCTTGAATGCGCCGGTTGCCTCATGTTGCTCAGGGCATGCCTGGGTTCGTGCTCGCGCGGTCCTCTACCCTGTCACATCGGCATTGTAACACTGTAACGCCTCGTACGCCGCGCTGAGAGGGCCAGCGCGTGGCCCGGCTGGCTGGGACACACCGGCGGCGGGAGCGGCTGTGCAAGCGGCGCATGCGAGCGGCAGCTGCACCCTCTTGGGACGTGCCCAGACCATGTCCGGCACAAGAGGATAACATGTGCTTTTGTCAAGCTCAACGATTCGACTGTTATTAGGTGTGACCCCCAGTCTGGCAGGCGCACGCACAAGGCGGGCCTCAGGACCTGGCCACAGAAGGCGCTACAGAGCACTATTATATCACCAGTACCCCTTTGGGGTGGACGCGGGGACACTGGGCTGCGCTGGGGCGCCCGAAGAGCCTCGGCGACCGGCCTCCCCCTCCTAGTCCTGCATGAGGTGCGTTTTCGACCCCTGTGGCTTCATGCTTGCCTAGAGTGCGTGAAGTGAGCAGCCCCAGGGTCCTGGGCGCGTGCCCACGGTGCTGGCGGGCTCGGGCCACCAAGGCCTCGCGGGACGTTGTTTTGGCTGGTTGTGGGCTCTGGAATGGGCCTGCTTGCATGGCGCCACGCTGTGGTGGCAGCTGGAGTGGGCGCCACGCACGGCGTCACGCAAGCGACCGCCCCGTGGGCACCTGCCTGCATGCATGCACGCAGGGTGTCGGATGGCGCGAGGGGCGTGCGATGTGGCCAGGGCGACAGCAGCGGCAAGCGCGGCTCCTCAAAGGGCGGCAGGTTGCAAGCCCAGCCGTCTGCGCCGCTGGACGACGCGGCGCCAGCGGCCGCGGCGCAGCCGTCGTTGCTCTACAGCGCCGGCCTATTCCGAGCCGCGGGCTTGAGGCAGCGCTGCGTGCGCACAGCGCGTGAGTTGTATTTCCCGGCACTTTTTGACCCCCCAGCCCTCTTCAAGCAGCTCCCGCCTGACGCGGCCGCGCAGCCGGACGCGTCGCCGCAGCAAGCTGCCCCGAAGCGCGCTCGCTATGCTGGCGCACGCGCGGCAGGGGCGCGGTGGGGCATCTCGTTCTCGGCGTCCGCAGGCGCTAGTGGCGCTGGCACGCAGCAGCCGCTGCTGCCGCCACCGACGCAGCAGCAGCAGCAGCTTGAGCGTGTGGGTAGCGTGTCTGGCGGCTTGACCAGTGGTGGCAACCCGGCAGAGCCTCCTTTCGATGCAAGCCCTCACCCCCTGTCGCTGAGCGTCCCGCGGCGGCAGCGGCATGCGGGCGGCCGGCGGCCGCGGTCCATGGCGCGGGGGCAGTTCCTCATCCTGCGTGGCCTGAGCCTGTCGCCCGATTCGCAGCCGGCGCCGCCATTCCCGCGCGTCCAGTCGCGTGGTGCGGGGGTTTCCGAGGCTGGGAGCGCGGCGTTGGCGATGGCGCGGGCTGCGCTCGCCGCAGCCCTGCCTGCGGGGTGCGGTCTGCCGGTCGTGGGCGCTTTATATCGGGGCCCCAGCAGCGGCAGCAGCGATCAGCTGCGAAAAGCGCCCCCGCCGCAGCAGCAAACACAGCAGCCATCTGGGGCGCTTCGCGAGCTGCGACCGCCCCCGCAGCGGGCCGCGTCGCCGCCGCGCTCGCAGCCACTCGCAGCCTCTGTGCCGAAGCAGCCGCAGGAGCCGCAAGCGGTGTCTTTGAGCAAACCTGCAGCGCTGACCCGGGAGGACGCCCGGGCGGCGCTCGCGGCGGCGCTGCCGTACCGCCAGCAGCCGCATGTCACGCGGGAGCGCGAGGCTGTGCCGCCGCAGGCACCCCAGCAGGGGGCACTGAAGGCGCCACGAGATGCTCAGCAGAGGGTGCCAGAGGGGAAGCAGTGGCATCACCCAAGGCAGCAGCAGTCATCGCAGCAGCAGCAGCAGCAGCAGCAGCAGCAGCAGCGCCGGCGACAGCATGGAGGGGAGGTGCAGCGTGGGCAGGCGCAGGCAGTGGCGCGGGTCGCAGACGCAGAGAAGCGCTCGGAAACAAAGCCGTCACCAGCAGGGGGGGTGCTGGAGGAGAACCAGCAGCAGCGCCCGACGGCCCAGGCGTGTGCAGCGGAGGGTCGGCGGCAGGCACGGGAGGAGGAGCAGGAGCAGGCGGTTGCAATGGAGGTGGACGATGGCGCTGCTGCTGCAGACGCGGCTGGGTCTGGCGAGGCGACGCCATCACCTGCCCACCCAGCGGCCATGGCGGAAGTGGGGGCACCCGACCACTTGACGGGCTTCGCCGCGCCGCTGATGCCCGTCGCGCTCCGCCCTATCGCGCCGCGCGCGCCCGAGCGCAGCCCCGGCGCCCCCGCGCCGCGCCCCTCTGCCGACGGCGGGGAGAGCGCAGGCGCCGCGGCCCTCGCGTCGCCCACGTCGTCCGACCCCAGCCAGGGGTCCGACATCACATGCCACGGCTCGGAGCCGGGGCCGCCGCCGGGCGCCGCGGCCCAGCTGACGCCCTGCGCTGCTGGGCGGCAGCACCCGGCCCAGCGGCTGCTGGCCCCCGGCAGCGCCCTGGGGCCGGTCGTGCTCGCCACGTGGCCGTCGACTTCCACCGACAACGACAGCGATGAGCAAGCCCTTGCGGCTGGAGCCGCGGCCGCCGCAGGGCTGCCCTTCAAGCAGCCGCCGGGCGCGGCTGCCGTGCCACGGGAGGCCGCTGCCGCGGCGCCCGCGGCGCCGTTGGTGCGGTGACCGCGCCGGCGCTGGCGACCGTTTATCGTGGCGCGCGCCAATGGTACTGGCGTCCGTGTGTCGGGGCGCCGTTTTGCACGTTCAGGGGTTGGACCATGTTTGGAGTCTTCGTCTTTGGAAGTCCTTGTTTCATGACACCATGCATGTGTCCATTGGCTGCGGGCGCCACCAGCGCCGCGCGCCGACGCGTTTGCTCTTGCCCCATGTGCCTCGTGCGCGGCGCAAGGGCATGCTGTGTGATTTCGCTACATGCTCGATTGACCCAGCGGCCGGTGTGCGTGTCGCGGCCACCCCGCTGCTGTGCTCAAAACTCGCAAGCTCCCTGTTTTGCGTGTCACCCCCTCTTTGACTGGTTTCGACCCGTTTCTGAGCGTCCCCGGCTGACTTCAGACTGTTTGATTGAACGCGGCGGCGGCGGCGGCGAGCCTGGCCGGCGACCCGGGAAGCGTTTGGTCGCCGCTCTGGCGGGCCCTCAGCGGTGCTTCCCGCCACGGCGGGGGCGCGAAGAAACGACCTGACCCTGGGACCACCACACCCTTTTGTACCGCATAGGCATGTCCCCATCTTTCCACGTGTCCCCGACCCACATATCACTCTGACGACCGGAATACGTGTTCTCTTCGCGGTGTGCATGTGCAGAAAGAGAAACGGCCGCCGAGGCGGCGGAGCGACCCTCTGGCCGCGGCGTGCTGGGCGCTGCTGTTGATTGCACGCGCGGGCGGCGCAGCCGTGGGGCGCCGCCGCCTTATGCGCGGCCATGACCTGTGGAACGGCCTGACGACTTTCCCTGCTGCACATACCGCCTCCCTTCCCCCTTCCGTCGAGCGCCGAGCGCGCCGAGCGCGCCGAATCTGTCACCTGGCGCCCGCAAAGTTGCGCCCGAGCAGCCATGGTAAATCTCTCTTCTGTGAATCTGCTCGGAACATGACCCCCCAGCTGGGCGCGCCGGCAGTGCAGCCAGGCACCAGCGTCAGGCAGGCGGCCTTTCAGCACGGACTACCCGTTCACATGCTCAAGAGACAGCCCGAGCTGCCCCATCTAAGCTCAGGTCCCCTTATGGCGTGCTGGTGGCAGGGCGGCCATGCTGGTGCTGTCGGGCCGCAATGGTGCGGTACAGTAGCTCAGTTCATCAGTAGCCTCTGGCACCCAGCTGACCAGCGTGGTTGACTATTGACTTGGGAGCACAAGAAGGCATTCCGGACAGTGCAGCTTGCGACAATTATCAAGCAGCACCGCAACCTGTGCATGCGGAGGGGTCCACCACATGCAGGCGCGAAAGCAAGTTGCGGTGACTGAGGTCTGAGCAGATCACAAAACTTTCATGCATCGCGGACACAGAGCATTTCAACGACATACCTTCGACATGGCTGGTGTCATGGACTGAGGCCGCCACTGTAAGAGTTGATCATGAGGAGGGCAGACCTTGTCCATCGTGCCTGAACCTGGTTTCCCCTTGGCTGAACAGATTCGAAGCGCAGCCAAAGCTGAGATCCAGGCGGTCAGGCTTTTAATGCCACCCAGCCGCAGGCGCGCACTGCGCGGCCACCACAGTGCTGCACGCAAGTGGCACGCGCGCCGCCACAGCGCATCACCATGCACAACAACCAGCCGCTCACTTACCGTCTGCCGGCAAACGGCCAGCCCGTGATCCAGTCGGTGCAGCATGTGCCTGCGCAAGGCATCCTGGGCGCGCCGGCGATTGTGCTGCCGCAGGGCGGCGCGCATGTGAACCTGCAGGCGGCAGCGCCGCAGCTGGTGCAGTATGCTGTCGCGCTGCCCGCGCCGCAGCAGATCCGACACATCGTGGCCGCGCCCCCGCCGGCGGCGGTCGTCCACGTTCAGGGCGGGCCGGCCTACGCGCCGCAGCCGCAGGCGCAGCCCGCGCCGCCGCCCGTGCAGCCGCCGCCTCCGCCGCGCCGCGCGCCGCCGCCGCCGCCGCACCGCCTGCAGCAGCAGCAGCAGCCGCAGCAGCAGTGGGGGACGTACGGCCAGGGCCTGCTGCCGCAGGGGCAGCAGCAACAGCAGCAGCAGCACCCCCAGCAGTATCAGATCGCACAGGCCCCCCCCGACCGCGCCCTGCCGCCCTATGGCAGCCCCGGGCCCCACGAGCGAGCGGCCTGGCCGCCGCCGCGGCAGCATCAACCGGCGGCAGGGGCGTGGAGCGGCCCCGGCCAACCCCAAACCATCGACGCCGGCCCCCCTTATGACCTGCATGGGGGCCTGAAGCGCCGCGCGCCGCCGCTCGGCCAGCCC